TTGTGCCCTTGGACTGGCCTTCAGGGAGAAACATACACATTTAGCCCAATTCCAGGTGTGCATTTCTGGTTCCACATGCCTAAGGAGCTATTTGGAAGGCAAGTGGGACTTCTAATGGCAGACAATAAAGAAACAACACGTGGGGACTCTAATACTGAAGTTACTGGTGATAGTAAAGGGCTCACTGAAGTAGCAGTTATGTATTGTCAGGGGCACCAATCAGCCAGCAGATGAAGCAGCCAATGTTTTCCTATATAAATCTCCTATCTGTATATGACACTCATTCCAATTTTTAGCTTGTCTAACACTTGCCCCTACTGATACTAATTCAGACACTCACTGAAGAGAATCATATGGGCTTCCATCAGTGTAGAAAAGGTTGGTATTATAATCCTGACAAACATGTTTTCTATACCTGACAATTGTGCCTTTCAAATTGCTGAGGCTACATGTGACCATACTCATTATGGAATGGAGATGTATTTCAATGACTCTCAAACAATCTGACTGGATACAAGGAATCACCCAAAAGTGTATGTTGTGTGCAAACACCCACAACCACCCCAAAGAGATGAGAGTGGGGCTGGCAATGTTGCACAGAGGGTTAAGCTGTTGCCAGCAATGACATCATTCCGTATCTGAGTTCCAGTTCACATCCTGGCTGCTCTGCTTCTAATCCAGGTGCCTGTTAATACACCTGGGAAACAGTGGACGATGACTCAAGTTTTGGTTTCCTGCACCCACATGGGAGATCTGGAGGCAGTTCTAGTCTGGCCCAGCACCAGCTGTTGTGGGCACTTGTGGAGTGAACCAGCGGATAGCAAACCTCTCTCTTTCTCCCCTTCTGTCTGTCACTCTGCCTTTCAAATAAATGTTTATTTAAAAAAAAAAAGCCTGAAACTCAAAATAACGAGAGTGCCCCAAGTCCCAGGCTCAGAATTCTAGGGGCGACTACCTGGGGGTTAACAAACTGATTTGACTGTGATGTTGAGAGCCCAGGGGACTTAAGTACTTGGTAAAGGATGTGGATATTTTTACCAGTCAGCTGGAAGCATACTTGAATCAAATCAAAAAAAGCTACAGAATTCAGTAAAACACGACTTAACCACATCATCCCGAAATTTGGCTTCCTGAGGGCAACCACTGGCCAGCATTATCTGTAGCCATCCAGCAAGTTAAGATCGCCTTAGAGCTTTCTCCTGACAGAAACAAGGGGAGTCTGTGTGACCCAACAGCCCTGCTGAGTTTGGGTAAACATGTCCAGCCATGAAGTCGACCGATCAACTGGACAGCCAACAAGCGGGAGTAAGGACTACTGAAACCTCATGTGACTGGTGGACGGAGTGCTCCAGCTTCTGCTGGGTTTGGCTGACTTACCCATCTGCTTTCCTGTTCTCTGCTTATTTGGTCTCCATCTTCTTCATTTTCCAACCATTTTCATTTGTAGCCAAGAAAGCCCGAGCTGGACCTCCTACTGCAAGACCTTTCACCTCCATGGGATCCTGCTCCCCAGTCCTTAAAATTCGTTTGCATCCTGCTTGAAGCCCTTTAGGGCTCATGGCCCCAGTGAAGTAGGAAGTATCCAGATGACAGTGATGCCCTTTCCCTCTTTTAACTCCATAAGTTATAAACTGCAGGAGAGCTCAACACACCTCTCTGCCCCCACAGAAGCAAAACAAGTAGCCTATCATTGGCTAAATGCTGAGAATAACCAGGTGTTCTTGCAAATAAAGGGGCGGGAAGGACCAGGAGGAAGCCGTTGATTGGATGCAGCCACACTCAGTGGTTAACACATTTCATGCAGGAGTCGCATGCAAGTCTGATTCAGCTGTGGCTGCTTTGTGGCACCTGTGCTGAAGCCGGGCTTGGCCCCTCACCATCACCTTCCTGATATGAAGCTAACCCCTCTCTTTATGTTAAGTCTTCAACACCAGATGAACATGAAATAATGCAAGACACATGACACCTTAGCAGGCATGTGTGCCTACTCCTTTCTGAAATGCATAACTCTGCCTGGAACTTCCCTAAACTTAATGAATATGTATAACTTCCTTAGAAGTAAGCCCCAGGACCTGTAACTTCCAGCTCCTCTGGGAGCCTAGTATGTAGTTACTGGCCTCACGCCTGAAATGTGCAGATTTAAATATAATCGTTTCTATTCCGAGAGCAAATCATTGCAGGTGAGTTTGATTGGCCAAGGCAGCTGACAATAACCCATGGATTTTCTGTCTTGTTATAACACCACAAAGAAATAAGATGATGGATACTTTAATTAGCCCCATTTAATTATTCCACCATGTATATATGCATTGAAACATTACACTCTTCCCCACAAGCATATAAATATAATTGTCAATTAAAATAAAATTAATTTAAAAAGGTTCCATGAAGATTATATAAAGCCAAGTTTTAGATTAATATCCCCTTTTAGCTCTAGGACATGTGGGAAACAGATGTATAAGGAGCAAAACCTTTTTCTCTCTGTCCTTGTTATCTTTTTTCTTTTCCTCAGTGATGAACTATAACAACCTCAGGAGTTCTAGATCCCTTGAGAGCACTAGTTGCTTAAATTTTACTTGTTAGTGGAGCTGCTTCCTTGTGGTATTTGAGGAGAAAAAATAGTGTACTTTTAAATGTTTAATTGGGGTAGGGAGATCTTCCATTTTTAAAATTTAGATTATTGTTCACGTGAGAAGGAGGGAATGAGAGAGAGACAGAGAAAGTTGCCATCAACTCTGTTTACTCCCCAGATGGCTGCACCAGCCCAGCTGGAGGAGGAGCCAGCAGTCAGGATTCAATCCAGGTCTCCCATGTAGGTGGCAGAAACCTGATCAATTGAGCCATCACTGCCACCTCCCAGGGTCTGCATTTGCAGGACACTAGAGTCAGGAGCCAGAGTCAAGTGCTTGACGCAGGTACTCTGCTGTGGGAAGCTGGCTTCTGAGCTTGCGTCTCAGACTAGGCTAAATTCCCACCCCGGTCCTGTTTATTTCATTTTCAGTCTCTTCTTCTTCCTTAAATCTTAGGTATTCACAGTAAATATCTATTGAGAAACTACAATGGTTCCAGTTCTGGGAGCCATGGTTTCTCACAAAAAGGTGACCCAGTAACATTTCAAGTGTAGAAAGTGCTAAGGCAAAAAAATTGGAGTAGTATAAAGTGGGGACTGGAAGAAACAGTTGTGCACTCATGTTCATAGGAGCATTATCCACAATGACCAAAAGTGGAGCAATATGGCATCCTTGGGCATATGAAATAATACAGCCTATAGCTACAATGGAATATTATTCACCCTGGAAAAGGATGGAATTTCACACACATGCTACAGTGTGAGTGAACCATGAATATACATTATACTAAATGAAAGAAGTCAGTCCCCAAAGAACAAATATTGTATGATTGCATTTGTATCTGGAACTTACAGTAGTCAAATTCATAGAGAAAGTAGAATGGTGGGTGCCAGAGGTTGGCAGGGGAGGTGGAAGAACTGGGAGTTAGTGTTTGGTGGGTACAGAGCTTCAGTTTGGGAAGATGAAAGACGTTTTGGAGATAGACATTGGTGGTGGTTATGCAATAATGTAAATAGACTCAATACTAAACTTATAACTATTGTATACTTATAAATTGCTGAGTATATTTAAAAAGTATTTATTTATTCTGAAAGGCAGGGAGACAAACAGAGAAAGACTGACAGAGGTCATCCATTCATTGATTCACACTCCAGATATCTACAACAGCCAAGGCTGAGCCAGGCTGAAGCCATGAACCAGGAATTTAATCTAGCAGGGACCCAAGTAATTGAGCCATTGCTGGCTGCCTCTCAGGGTACACATTATCAAGAATCTGGAATTAGAAGCAGGGTTGGGACTCAAACCCAGTTACTCTGATATGGGTTGCAGATGTCCCAACTGGTGTGTTAACCTCTGTGCCAAATGTTTGCCCCGGTGAGTAGATCTTCCGTGTTCTCACCACACACACACACACACACACACACACACACAAATGGTAATCATGTGAGGTGATGGAAGTGTCCACTTGATTGTAATAATAATTTCACAACTTATAGGTATATTACAACATCAAAATCTATGATTTTTATTTGTTAATTATATCTCAGTAAAGCTTGAAAAATTACTAACTTGATAGATTTGATGTGAATTTTATCACCATGAAACAAGAAATTTAGAAACATACCATAGTTGAACCTTGAAAACATTATGGAACTAAAATAAAGCAGACACAAAATGTCAGACATTGTCTGATTCCACTTCAGTGAGGAACCCAGATAGAGAATTCATAGACACTACTGAAGAATAGAGGCTGTGAAGAGCCAAAGTGACTCCATTTTAAAACAATAAAAAAGCAGCCTCCGTTTCCCATAGCAGACCCAAGTCCTTGTAGAAGCAGGCATTCAGGCATTCCGGAGATATCAAAGCTTACCAGGGACAGCTAGCTCAGTAGACCAAGGCCAAAGTAACTGCCTGCACCCAAAGCTCCCATGCTGTAAGCCCCCGCTGATGCAACTCTTTTTTTCCTGCTGATGTAGCCCTTTTTTTCTTTAAAAACTCTCCCTAACAAGACCGAGGCCTCACTCCTTCCTCCGCTGTGCCAGTTGGTTGGATGGGGTCCCTGTTGTGGCTTATACTCCTGAATAAACCCTGCTTTTGCAGTTCGGTGTGATTGGGTTGCTGATAGCTTCTTGGGGATCTACTTATCTGGACACAACATCTGCCCTGGGGCTGGAGTTAGAAAATGGGCAGTTGTTTTTTGTAAGGCATACAGATTTCTGCTTGGGATGATGAAAAGCTAAAAGAACTGGATAGAGGACAGTGTACTGTGGTGGAATGAGAAGGCCATGCCAAGATGGCCACTGGCAAGTGAGTGTCAGTTACACAGGAATGGCTTCAGACAGCACCTGGCAATGGAGGTTGCCTGGCAATGGGCTGTGAATTGTTAGGGCATAAACCACTCCTTGATCGGACTGGCTGCCTCTGCTATTTAAGCTGTTGTGCCAACTGAAATAAATGAGTCTGCGGGCTGCTCACCTCTGGCCTGCTTTCACCCGACTCCCAGGGACTATGTGGTGACTCCATGCGTCTTGCTCCCACCACGCTCCTCCTCTCAGAATGAATCCACAACTTCTGGCGCCCAACGTGACTGAGAGACAGTGTGTCAGACTTGGCGAGGTCCCCCCTTGATTTCAGCAGGTAGGCCCCTCAGTGTTTTGTGTGCTGTTTGGTTCTGTGAGGGTGAGCACAGAACCCCCTCGTATGCCCCTTTCCTTGTCCTTGTCCTTGTTCGAAGAGACCCCAGGTTAGGCACACACTGCCCAGAAGTGTAACACTGCTTTTTGGCTCCTTTTACTTTCAGTTCACCTGGTGAATTCACATAAGGGACTGATCATCCCAGAATTTGGAACTTAGTGATCTTCCCTCACTGGAGAGAGGTGACACCCTGGTGACACCATGTGGGCATATGTCCTTGACCTATCAAATCAAGGAAGTCCCCGCTAAGCACAGGCCATACTTACGATCTTATACACTACTGTCTGTTCGTCTAACGTAGGGAACCCCCTGCATAATGCCATCAGCCACTGAGGTGCTAGGAATTTGTTTTGTTATGGTAGCAGTGCTGTGGGTGTCTTTCCTTTGGCTAGAATTGACGTGGTGCGCTGCTCTTGAGCCCTCAAACGTGGGAAAGTTACCCCCCTCTCAGAAACCCACACAGATTACCAAATATAATGAATGTGTGAGTGATCAGAGCCTGCCACTCCAGGCTGTTGCCTCACAAGCAACAGTTGATGACTTAGGGAGAGAGAGCTCTGACAGTGAAAATGACAGCAGACAACACAGCAATGCCTAGTCAGCCACCCCCCAAATATCCGTGAGATGAACTTAGATAACCTTGAGGCGATAACCCATGTGAGGTCATCCCATCTGCACACAGTGAGGATCCCCTCTTTGTGGCAGTCCCCAGGCACCCCAGGCTCTCAGGGCAGCCACTAGACCCCATCCCACCCACATGTTTGCCATTAATCTTGAAGTGGATTCACAATTCAGGCCCTGGATTCCAACACCCATAAAAAGGCTTCTGCTAACCAAGGGCCAAGGATATGCTTGTGTCTTTCCAGAGAATGTGGGACAGCCCATTTGGGTACTAGCCAGAAACATCAAGCCTGCAACTGACAGTCAACCAGAATCAGCTGGTCAAGACTGAGAGTCCGCCTTGTTAGCAGATGCACCTGCTCCCAATTGTCAAGCTGCTGCCCTAGCAATCTGCCCTGAGGAACTGCCCACAGTCACATCTGCTACTATCTTTTACCCCACTAGCTCTGGTCAGCCATTTGAACAGCCAAGAGCCTGCGTGTAGTCATGCCATTCCTGATTACCATTGTCCCTCATTCCTACCCTCATCTGAGCAAGCACTCCTGTGGTCTCCCATTTCGAGGGCTGGTTAGTCAATGATGGGTAAGATTCCCAGAGGAGAACCTAAGACAGGCACAGCTGCATACGAAGACCACATAGAAACGGGGTCAGCAATGTAATGGCCAAGGATCATGCCTCCCAGTGCTCAAAATTAAATGAAAAGGGGGAAATGTAGTGGAATGAGAAGGTCGTGCCAAGGTGGCCACTGGCAAGTGAGTGTCAGTTACTCGGGAATGGCTTTGGAAACCACATGGCAATGGAGCCTGCCTGGCAACAGACTGTGATTAGATGGCTTTGGAACCCAACTAGCAAAGGAGTTTGCCTGGCAACAGGCTGTGATTGGCTAGGGCATTAACTGTCCCTTGAGTGGATTGGCTGCCTTGGCTCTATAAGCTGCTGCACCAACTGAAACCAGTGAATCTGCAATCTGCTCACCTCTTTCCCACTTTCACCCAACTCCCGGTGTCTGTGTCGTGACTCCACACCTCTTGTCCCCACCATGCTTCTCCTCTCAGAACGAATCCACAGCAACAGTATACAACATTGGAGTGTATCTTGTGCCACCGAACTATACACTGAGAAATGGTTACAATAGGGGCTGGCATTGTGGCAAAGCTGTTCAACAGTTTCTTGGGTACCTGCATCGTGGAGTGCCTATTCAAGCCCCAGCTATTCCATTTCTCATCCAGCTCCCTGCTATTGCAACCTGGGAGGCAGCGGATGATAGTCCAATTGCTTGGGCCCTTGCCATACACACAGGAAACCAGGATGGAACTTTGGGCTCCTGGGTTCAGCCTGGCCCAGCTCTGGCTGTTGCAGGCATTTTGGGGAGTCAATTAGTGGATGGAAGCTTTCTCTCTTTCTATCATACTGCCATTAAAGTAGATCAAAATAACTCAAAGAACTTTTTTTAAAAAAAATTCATTTTTTTATATGAAAGTCAGAGTTAGAGTGAGGAAGTGACAGAGAGAGAGGTCCGCTATCTGCTGGTTCACTCCCAAGATGGCTGCAGCAGCCAGAGCTGAGCTGATTCGAAGTCAAGAGCCAAGAGCTTCCTCCAGGTCTCCCACATGGGTGCAGGTGCCCAAGGACCTGGGACATCCCCCACTGCTTTCCCAGGCCATAGCAGAGAGACGGATTCGAAGAGGAGCAGCCAGGACTAGAACTGGTGCCCATATGGGATGCCGAAGCTTCAGACCAGGGCTTTAACCCACTGTACCACAGTGCCAGCTCCCAAGGAACATTTTTGAAAATGGTTAAATGCTGTATTTTGTTATGTATCTGTATGTACACACACACACACACAAATATAAAACCATTATAAAGTGTTAACAAATAGTTCAAGAAATAAAATGTGTTATTTTTTATTTGTGATTAACATTTGGTGTATATGTGTGAAATGGTCACTTTTCCATTTAATTATTTATAATCATTGTCTATATTCCCACTAAACTAGGGTCTTTTTGCTTTTTACTTGTTAAACTTATTTGATGAAGTATTAAGCCTTTTTACTGTAATGTAAATTTAAAAGATGCTGTCTCAAATTATAAAAATTATATAATATATAATTATATATAATTTATATTATATAATATATAATATATAAGAATATATTATATATAATATATATTATATAGTAATATATTATAATATGATATATATTAACTCTTTCAACTTAATAAATAAATCTTTAAAAAATACAAATATTGAGGCAGTCCTGGTTTAGGCTAGATTTTGACATCACTGCTCCAGTGAATCCTGGGACTCTTTCTACTCAACCATCATCTTATTAGGAATCTACAAGTCAAAACGCTGCCATATTTGTCACCAAGAAATGATCCAAGGAAGATTCATTTTTCCCAGAGGTGAAAAATGTAGGAGAGAGCAATTACAGATGTCTTCACTGTTAGTCTCCCAGGGATAATGAATTGGCAGGTTAAAGACTCCTGTTTGTGTTGTCCCTGTCCTTGAGGAGCCAAAATGATCAGAGACTGAACACATCACTGATCAATTATTCTAATCAGCTTCAGAGGGGATACAGCCTCCAGGACACAACTTGGAACTCACTAATTTATAGTCATCAAGGTCCCACACTCGAGACACTCACATCATCTCCAGAAGAAGTGATCCAGGCCCTGTACCACATGCCTGGTTCTATCTCACACTCTGCTGGGGGCCAGACCTTCTGTTTTTATCGTCCACCCTCTACAAGAGAAAGATTCTAGACATTTGATTCGGTGGGTTCACGCTGCTGAGCCTGCATAGCCTGGTAAGTGTTGAGGAAACTAGGGGAGGGGAAAGGGCATTGCTTATTGTTAAGTATAAGGTAGGGTAAACTCTGTAATGTTCATGGAGCAAGACTTGCTGAACGTAATTTCTGGGAAGGAACAATGATTAGACTACTCGGTGATAGCTGCTACTGTGTAGTGAGTTTTCACTTTGGTTGTGTTTTGTTTGTGGGCATGGTTGAGAAGATGATGAGAGGTGCTAGTCTTTGTTGGCCATTTCACTGCCCTGGACCACATGGTCTACTGTTGTGATTTCCAGTCCAAGTTGCACAGATGGATGCCCCAAGGTCCTGATAGAACTGTAGATTTTTAACAGCAAAGTCCTGGACCCTTCTAGATCTATTCTCTTGTTACCTGACCCGAGAACTCCAAATCCTCCATTCTCCACCACCCCCAGACCAAGCCTTCTGAATTCTGTGACCCACACTTGCTTAGGAACATTTCCTGCTTTCCAGAAAGACCTGTCCTTGTCCTTCTCTCTTAACCCTTATCCAGGGCTCTTATTAGATTCCTTCAAGAAAGCAGAGGCTGGATTCCCCAGCACCTTGGACTGTGGTACAGAAATCCTTGGTTGGGCTGTGAGAGGAAAAGGGAAGGACACAGGTAAGCCCAACACCATGTTCCCTCTTGACATCCCCTGCTTTAATTCTTGGGGATGGCAGGGGTGCACTGGAACCCACCATATCCCTTTCCCGTGATTTCCCTTGATTTCCTTGTGCACCTCTCTTGATGCTTGTCTTTCTTAGGCAACATAATTCTTCAGTGGGTCCCTTCAATTCAAATGATGTGAAGACTCCCCATATGTTTTGTCTGCCCCAAACTCATCTTTCCCTCCAGGTACCAGCAATAATTGTAATTCATATCACATTAGTCCCTTGATTGTATTCATTCATTCATTCTCTCTCCAGCCCTCCCTGTATTGTATTCCCTTCACAGCCCCATTCTCTGTGCAATTTCCCTTTCCAGGTTCTGAGATGTCATCTGTGCCCATCTCTCCAACATCATTCTTGATCGTTCTCATCTACCACTATCTACTTAAGAGCAAAGTGCGCCAGCACCACAGCTCACTAGGCTAACACTCCGCCTTGCAGCGCCGGCACACCGGGTTCTAGTCCCGGTCGGTGCGCCAGATTCTGTCCCGGTTGCCCTTCTTCCAGGCCAGCTCTCTGCTGTGGCCAGGGAGTGCAGTGGAGGATGGCCCAAGTCTTTGGGCCCTGCACCCCATGGGAGACCAGGATAAGTACCTGGCTCCTGTCATCGGATCAGCGCGGTGCGCCGGCTGCAGCATGCTGCCCGCAGCGGCCATTGGAGGGTGAACCAATGGCAAAGGAAGACTTTTCTCTCTGTCTCTCTCTCTCACTGTCCACTCTGCCTGTCAAAAAAAAAAAAAAAAAAGAGCAAAGTGCCTGAACACTTTGCTTCTTGCTTCTTGCATTCAGACATCTCTCATCCCTCTTCTCAATTTAGAGCTCCTCTCTGTATTCCACACAGTAATCCACCTTAGCACTTAATTCTCTGTGTTACAATTACTGTTTTCTGCAACTATCTCTGCACCTTGGAGGCTGGACCATGAATACAAAGGCCACACTCTTAATCTTCATATAACAACAGCTAACACATAGCCTGGCCCAGACTCCTTTCTTGCAGAATGGTTTCCAGGACTTGTTCAGTGACTGACAAGCTGCCTCATTCATTCTTTTTCTTAAAGATTTATTTATTTATTTGAATGTGAGAGTTACACAGAAAAAGGAGAGGCAGAGAGAGAGTGAGCGAGCGAGCTCCAGGAGCCAGGAGCTTCCTCGGGTCTCCCATGTGAATGCAAGGGTCCAAGGACTTGGGTCATCTTCTACTATCACAGGCCAAAGCAGAGAGCTGGATGGGAAGCGGAGCAGCTGGTATTCAAACCGGTACCCATATGGGATGCTGGCGCTTCAGGCCAGGGTATTAACACACTGCTCCACAGCGCTAGCCCTCATTTATTCTTTGGTTATTCCTAACATAGTTTAGCACAACTGCCCTCTGACTCTAGGCAGTAAAAGTAGAATAGGGCATACTCATTTGATGCATGGACAAAGGGACTAGGATGAATGTGACTATCCTCCCAGCTTCTGATGTCTAACCCTTGGTCCAAAGGTAGGCAGAAAGTTTCTAATACATGGGCAGTTTAAGATATTCCTAACCATCATGTCATGACTCATTTGAATCATCATTTGGCTGGTGCTATTTTTATTTGTTTTTTTTTTTTTAACTTTTATTTAATGAATATAAATTTCCAAAGTACGATTTATGGATTACAATGGCTTTCCCCACATACCGTCCCTCCCACCCACTACCCTCCCATTTTCCAAGATTCATTGATTTGAAAGGCAGAGTGTCAGAGGGAGAGGGGCACGTGCACGTGCACACACACACACACACAAACACACGAGAGAGAGAGAGAGAGAAAGAGAGAGAAAGAGAGAGACCATCCATTAGTTCACTTCCCAAATGGCTGCAATAGTCAAGGCTGGGCCACACCAAAGCTGGTAGCCAGGAATTCCATAGGGGTCTTCCATGTGGGTGGCAGAGCTTTCCCAGGTGTATTAGCTGGGAGCTGAATTGGAAGCAGGGCAGCCAGAATGGATGATGGCAATGCAAGTGTTGTGCTACAATGCTGCACTCCACAATTATGTTTTCCACTGTACATTTTTCATTGTCTCAACTTTTTAATGTAGACTAAAAGAATAAGATTTGATTATCCCAGAAATAGAACCTTTCTCTGGCCAAATAATTACTTTCATGAAAATAGTTCTAAAACCTGAATGTTCACATGGACCATATGATAAAACTTCATAACTTCATGGAAAATGGAAATAAAGGACAAATTTATTTTTGTGTGGATCTACAAGTGCTTAAGGAAATAGAATAAATGAGAGGGCTCCCTGACTCTTAGAAATCTCACATGCAATTTCTGTCATCTGTAAGCCAGCCACCTTGTTAGTAATTTTTCCCAACAGCATCCTGAACAGAATCAGAAAGACAGTGCCAGAAAGACATCTCAAGATTTTAGGAGAGAGTAATACAACTGGATGTTCACGTTAGAAAGATGTGTTATCAGGCTGGACACTTGGAAGGAAGTCCCTGCAATAGACCTAGCAGGGGATGGAATTGTTTTATTTTGCAATGCTGTTGATGATATGAACATGCAGAGTACATTCCAGGGAACACCAGAATCCTGGCCATGGCCCACCTGCTCACTAAAATAAGTAAGGCAGGTGGGCATTTGATGCAGTGGTTAGTTAAGATGTTTTTTTTGCGGGGATGCCTACATCCTATATCACAGAGCCTGGGCTGAGTTCTGGCTCTGCTCCTAATGCTAGCTTCCTGCTAATATGCACACCTCTCTCCTCCCTCCTCCCCTTTCTTCCTTCCTTTACCTTGGAAAGTAAGTCATCATCCTACTTATCCTGCAATATTTTATCTAGATATTGTCCCTGCTCTCACATTTGCTCTCACATTTTCTTACTACCCAGATGTGGTTTTCTGGTTTCAGATGTGCTCCAACAAGCAAGATGGCCTATACCTTTCCTTTAGATCACTGGGCTTCTTATGTGTTAGTGAAGATGTGGGCTATTTTATCCCTAAGATCTAAAATTGCTTTTTGTTGTCCTTGACTCTAAGTCAGAGATAAAGGGAATAGATGAGGGTCCAGTGCTGTTGCATAGTGACTAAAGCCACCACCTGCAGTGCCAGATTGCATATGGGCACTGGTTCAAGTCCCGACTGCTCCACTTCCCATCTAGCTCTCTGATATGGCCCGGGAAAGCAGTGGGGGGTAGCCCAAGTGCTTGAGCCCCTGCACACATGTGGGAGACCTGGAAGAAGCTCCTGTTTCCTCGCTTCGGATCCGCACAGCTCCAGCAGCTGTGGCCATCTAGGGAGTGGACCAGTGGATGGAAGACCTCTCTCTTGCCTCTGCCTTTTGTAACTCTGCCTTTCAAATAAAACAACACACACACAAAACCAAAGGGAATAGATGAGTGTCCCAGAGGCTAATGGACAGAGATTGGTCAGCATTACAAAATGTTGCCTATAACAAGAGACAGACTAGAATTCCTAAGTTTTTTAACAGTAAGATTGTTTTCCTCAATTCTTCACCTCAAGAATTGAAAATTCAGAGAGAATTGAAAGGCTGCTCATTGTCTATTTCACATGCCTTCTTTTCCTGAATTGCTTAGCTGATGTGTCAACAACATGGAACCAGGAAATCGAACAAGTATTTTAGGATTTTTACTCCTGGGCTTTTCTCAAGACTCAAAGCACCAACCTCTGCTATTTGGTTTGTTCCTGCTCATGCTTGTGGTCACAGTGCTTGGAAACCTGCTCATCATCCTGGCCATCAGCTCCCATGCCCGCCTCCACACGCCCATGTACTTCTTCCTCTCCAACCTGTCCTTGGCTGACATCTGTTTCATCTCTACAACCATCCCAAAGATGCTGCAGGACATCAAGACTCAGAACTATTCCATCACCTTTGCAGGCTGCATCACTCAAATGTACTTCTTCATGGTTTTTGGGGGCATGGACACACTTCTCCTCACCTGGATGGCCTACGATCGCTTTGTGGCCATCTGCCACCCCTTGCACTACCCAGTCATCATGAATCCCCGTCTCTGTAGCCTGCTGGTTCTTGTGTCCTGGTGCATCAGTCTGTCGTGTGCCCTGATCCAGACCCTGTTGATGCTGAGGCTGTCCTTCTGCACCAGAAGGGTAGTTGCACACTTTTATTGTGAACTTGCTCAGGTCCTGGTACTTGCCTGCTCTGACAAGTTCATCAATTACACCCTGCTCTACGTGGTGACTGCTCTTCTTGGCTTTGTTCCCCTCTCAGGGATCCTTTTCTCCTATATGCAAATTGTCTCCTCCATTCTGAAAATTCCGTCGACTGGTGGAAGATACAAGGCATTCTCCACGTGTGGGTCTCATCTAACTGTGGTTTCTCTGTTCTATGGGACAGGCCTTGGGGTGTATCTCAGTTCTGATGCCTCGTCCTCTTCCTGGAAGGGCATGGTGGCCTCGGTGATGTACACTGTGGTCACTCCCATGTTGAACCCCTTCATCTACAGCCTGAGGAACACGGACATTAAGAGAGCTTTACAAAGTCTTCTCGGGTTCAAACTCCATGTTCAGTGATGGGAACATTGTTCCTGGATTTGGGAGCTGCCGGAAGTCACACCAGTGGGACAAAAATATGCCGCTTCTGAACTGTACAGAGTTTTGATGCTTACCCACTCTGTTCTCCATCTTTGGTCAAACTACCCTGTGAGTACTTGGTGTGAAGCGTATGATGATTCCTGTTACCCTTATTCTACTCACTTCTTCCCTTCCCTTTACATTTTTACATTACTACACCTTGGTTGGAGTTTGCACTCCTACATATTAATACAATCACTCAAGTGAGATTCAGAAACTACTGCTTATAAGTGAATTCACTTTACCATTAACCAGAGCTGTTTCTTACCAAATTCATTCACTCGACAATATTTACTGGAATCTATAGTGTACCAGATCTTCTAGGTACCTGGATATAGCTGTGAAAAAATTTGGGCGATTGGATACTGGGTACCAAAATATAGTGAGACAGAAGTAAGAAATTCTAGTGCTCTACATTACAGTGGGGTGACTATCATTCACAACAGTATTTTATGAAGGAGTAGAACACAGGAGCTTATAGGTTCCAAATACAAAGAAAGCATAAGGCAATGGAAACCTAACTACCTTATGTGAGCATGTTGTCTATATGAATTAAACATTATACTTGGGGCTGGTGCAGTGGTGTAGTGGGTAAAGCTGTGGCCTGTGGTGCTGGTGTCCCATGTGGGTGCAGGTTTGAATCCTGACTCTGATCCAGCTCCCTGCTAATGTGGATGTTGTATACACTGCCAGATATCACTCAGCTGTAAAAAAGAATGAAATTCTGTCTTTCACAACAAAATGGATGCAACTGGAAATCATCATACTTAGTGAAATAAGCCTGTCCCCACAAGACCAATACATATGTGTTTCATGATCTGTGATAACTATTATAGTACACAAAATGTATGTATGATTATTTGCATTGCAATATGCATAAAATTATTCATGTACATAAACTGTTTGGAGGAAATGGCTTAAAGTCTAAATGAACTTAATTATTTTATAAACACACAGGAAATATTTAGGTGTTACTTTGTCATTGGTTCTATTTTACTGAAAAAATTATGAATGATTAAATGACAAAAAACCGCGAATATGGGTGAAATGGTCATGTTTCCATTCAATTGTTGTTTAAAGCTATTATCTACATTCCTACTAAGCCAGATTTTTTTGCTTTTTACTTAAGGTTCATATTCAGTGAAGTAGTAAGCCAGTGTACTGTAATGTAAATTTAAAATATGTCATCTCAAAAACTAAAAAGAAGAAAGGTAAAAGGAAGGACGGTAGGAAGGAGCGAGAAATGGAGGGAGGGAGGGAGGGGAATTTCATTATATTCTTAGACTTACATCCACAAATCATATTGAGTCTGTTAAAATTAATTAAAATTAAAATGAACATAATAAAAGACCTTTGAAGTCTTACCATGACTCACTTTACCTCCCTCCACTTTCTCACCTTCCAATATACCCATGAGCATAGGCTCATAAGATGACATTTTCCATTTAGATGACACCTCATGGTTCTGTTTATTCAACAAGAAATTCTCATCTGCTTTAGGATAGAGACCCTTGGGAGATCTGACCACAGGAGAGCTTTAGGCTAAGGAGAAAATGCTTAAGTTTCTGAAGGACCTTCCCGAGAATTAGGAAACTTCAGGGTTACAGATTCTGGCCTCAATGAAGGGAAATTTCCACAGTGCCTCCAGGCAGCAATGGAGAACTCTGGCTACAGCCAGAGATTTCTCTCTTCTTGATTAGGCCTCTCTGCAAGGTCACCAGGTTAGAAGCTTGGAGCTCTTAGCCTTGGCCAAGCCAGTGATGTCTCTGAGGGCCTCCCAGTCACTTCAGAGTCCTCATCTGGACCCAGATTCAGTTCCCAAGCTTTCTATCATCCACAAACATCATTCAACACAGTGATGCTGGGGCCAGTATTGTAGCACAGCAGGTTAAATCACCACCTCAATGCTAGCATCTCATGTGACTGCAGGTTCCTGTCCTTGCTGCCCACTTCTGGTCCAGCTCTGTGCAACTGTACCTGAGAAGGCAGTGGGTGATGACCCAAGTGCCTGGACTCCTGCCATCGGTGTGGAGACCTGGATGGAATTCCAGGCTCCTGGCTTTGGCCTGGCCCAGCTCTAGCAGTTGTGGCCTTTTGGGGAGTGAACCAGGGGATGGGTGATCCCTGTCTGTGTCTCTGCCTCTCTGTAACTCTGCCTTTCAAATAAATAATTTTTTCAGAAAAATGAAAAATAGAAAATACCTCCTAAGTGCTAGTTATTCTTTAATGATTCAGATAGCACCATGCACTAATGCCATCTATGGGATCAGTGATAATGTATGATTTTGTGTATTTGGTCCAAGTATACATATTAAATCTTTTTTTTGACAGGCAGAGTGGACAGTGAGAGAGAGAGACAGAGAGAAAGGTCTTCCTTTTTGCCGTTGGTTCACCCTCCAACTGGCCAGTGGCAGCACCACGCTGATCTGATGGCAGGAGCTAGGTACTTCTCCTGGTCTCCCATGGGGTGCAGGACCCAAGGACTTGGGCCATCCTCCACTGCACTCCCTGGCCACAGCAGAGAACTGGCCTGGAAGAGGGGCAACCAGGACAGAATCCGTGCCCCGACTGGGACTAGAACCCGGGGTGCTGGCGCCACAAGGTGGAGGATTAGCCTAGTGAGCCAGGGTGCCGGCCACTTATTAAAATTTAAAGTAGACCAGGTCCTGGTTAGGATCAATATTGGACAAGAATTTTAAAAGGTAGCCTGCTTTTTTGAGTATGCATCTCGTTTCATAAAAGCACAAAATTAGAAAAATGTTGAAAATTTATGAAGATGAATGGAGCATAAAAAAACTTTCTCATTATGAACACTGCATTTAATATATTTTTAAAGATTTATTTATTTGGAAAGCAGAATTATAGAGAGGCAGAAGCAGAGAGAGAGAGAGAGAGAGAGTGAGTGAGTTAGGTCTTCCATCTGCAGGTTAACTCCCTAGTCGGCTGCAATGGCTGGAGCTGCACTGATCTGCAGCCAGGAGCCAGGACCTAGGACCTTCTTCCAGGTCCCGCATGGGTGCAGGGGCCCAAGCACCTGGGCCATCTTCGACTATTTCCCAAGACACAGCAGAGAGCTGGATTAGGAGTGGAGCAATGAGGACTCGAACCAGCGCCCATATGGATGCTGGCACTGCAGGCGTTGGCTTTACCCGCTATGCCTCAGCACTGGCCCCTGAATTTTATAAAGTCCAGATAATGCACCCCCAGCAATCAATAGAAATGATCAATATTTTATATTTGGGATTTTTTGCATAGTATTTGAATAAAACAGGGCTGAAAGTTATTTTCCTCTGATTAGGATGAAAGGTGGAATGACGCTGTTTATATTTTGTCTTAAACATTTTACTGCAATCATGAACTTATCACACATATTCCTGTTCTTCTAACACTCTTTAGCTGAGTGTCTCTAAAGTTAACTATATACAGGAAAGAAAATGAACAATGAAACAATGCTAAGAAGGTTGATTTTTTTGCCACTAAGAAATATTGCTGAAATGTATGGATCTCAAAAATAGAAACCTTACTTGTAAATTGCTCTAATCCAAAACATAGACACAGGGCTGGGTACTGGATGCTTATTTCCTTTTCATTGTGGAACTTGCATTATGAATATATTGCTCTGCTGACAGTCTCCTGTGAGACCCTCTTGTGCTCTCTACTTATCTTCATTCTTTCCCTTTGGTTCCTTTGATTTTGTAATTCCAGGGGCTCAGTCCTTATGCTGACTGATGTTTCCTCTCTCATAGAGTGCTCCTGAGCACTATACTGAACACTTCACATACCCACCGTGTTATTTATCACTATTTCTCCATTTGCTTTAAAAAAAGATTTATTTATTTGAAAGGCAGAATTACAGAGATAGGAGAGCAAGAAAGAGAGAGAGAGAGAGAGAGAGAGAGAGAGAGAGAAGGAGAGTGAGAGTGAGAGTGAGTGAGAGAGAGAGAGAGAGAAATCTTCCATCTGCTGGTTCACTCCCCCAAATGGCCACAATGGCCATTATTGGGCCAGGCCTAACCAGGATCTAGGAACCTCATCCAGGTGTCCCATATGGGTGGCAGGAACCCAACTACTAGGGCCACTTTCTGTTGCTTTCCCAGGCACATTAGCAGGGAGCTGAATGGGGAATGGAGCATCCAGGACTTGAACTGCCCCTATATGGATGCCAGTGTTGCAGGTGGCAGCTTAACTTGTTATGTCACAATGCCAGCCCCTCTGTTTGCTTTTTATATCTCTTTATTGTTATTCACATTCTGCTCACCACTCCAATGAGCCCCAAAACACTTCACAGGTAAGTTTTAAAGAAAACTATTTAAGGATCCCTAAATCAGTACTGGCACAAGCAGCTTGTATTTTGCTGCAGTGAATGAAGCCTCAGGTGGGGAAGCTTGCAACCGGTGTCACAGTGCCTGGTTCAGGTCTCGACCACTCCACTTCTGATCCAATTCCTGCTCATGTGCACCCTGGAGGCAGCCCAGAATCAAATAAAATGAAAAATGAATAAGAATGTAGTAAAATAATTACAGAAGCTTCTTTCCCAAAGACTTATAACATGAACAATTATTGTTCCTCATTTACAGATGAGGAAACTGCTCAAGTGCATTTACATTCTTTTCTGGAATTCTTTGTTTTACACTTCTTTTCTTGATTCAATCACAGTGTGAACTATTAATGTAATAAAGTCAAGTTGCCTTGAGGCAGCCAGAATTAGAGAATTGCAACCAATGAATCAAGAAGGTATAACATGAAAATATTTGAATTATGCACAGGAAGTTTGGGACTCCAATGGCCTTGCCCTTCCCTGATACCAAATATCTCAACTTAAATAAGGGCACTTATGATTATAAAAACTATAAAGCAGTCTTACCAGGTCTCTATAGAAAAGAGAGGAAAAACTGGAACAATATTTAAGGAAGAGACAGCTCTCACATAGCAGATCATACAGGGTAGATGAGAGCATGAGAGCAAAGGGAATAGATAAAAACATGAATAAAATTTTAAAAATTCAGGTATTTCTAAATAGTCCATTATTTCTAAATATTGGACAGGTAAGAATACACTAATATAACATTTGTGGTCAGTGGTTTCATATGGTCATGTGCATTTAGGTAAAGCATACTTATGAACGTCTGATATCCACTGGTGATGAGGATGGATGTACTTGATGACTTTAAAGAGACAAACAGGAGTGATTAAGATGTCCTCCTCCCACCTGGGGTACCTGGGTTGGATTCCTGGCTCTGGGCTGTGACTCGGCTTCCTGCCAGTGCAGACTGTGAGAGGAAGAGGTGACAGCACAAGCAGTTGGGCCCCTGCTACCCATGTGGGAGACCTGGATTGAGTTCCAGCTCCCAGCCTCTGCATTGGTCTGCCACACACAGTGCAGGCATCTTGGGAGTCTCCCTGTATGTCAGCCTTTCAGAGAAAAAGAGATAACAGAGAGAAACCAGAAAACCTAAGAATGATGAAATCCTGACACACAACAATAGTTTCCAACCATGAAAAGCAAGTGCAATTTAGAGTCTAGATAATGCAGTCCTAACTTTGGAGTACTTATAAATATTTTCAGTCAAATGAGCTTTTGTCATGGCCTGAGAAGAAAATAAGATATATTCGATTGCTCTTCATTTCCTTGAATTAGAATGATGTTGTCCTATAGGGGGAAAATGCACTTCCTGTACTTTTCTGTTAGAAGACTTAGTTGCATTTGGTTGTGATCACAGACAGTGCTCAACTCAGGTGAGTGTCTAAAGCAGGTGTGCATAGATGGAGAAGAGGAACACAGAAACCAATCAGAAGGAGCTCCAGGAAGACTGAGTCTGTCACTGTGGAGGAAGATGGCAGAGGTTGTATGTCTCCAAGTGTGAAACAGAGGTGGTAGTCTTGAAAAAGATGTAAAAATATTGATTACTGGAGGTTGGGAGTCATGGAATAAGTGTTTTGGATGAAAAAATAAGGGAAAAGGCCAGCACTGTGGCACAGTGAGTAAAGCTGCTGCCTGCAACACCGGCATCCCACATGGGTGCCAGTTTCAGCCCTGGCTGCTCCACTTCCAGTCCTGCCCCCTACTAATGCACCTGGGAAAGCAGTGGAGGTGGGCCCAAGTGCTTGGGCCCCTGTGCCCATATGGGAGATCTGAAAGAAGCTCCTGACTCCTGGCTTTGGCCTGTCCCAGCTCCAGCCATTGCAGCCATTTGCGACGCCAACCAGTGAATGGAAGATCTCTCTCTCTCTCTTTCACTCTCTTTCT